AGATGCTCCAGGAACAATAGAATCTATGAACACTTTCATATTACATGTCTTCCAAATGAGCGATATATGCTATTTTTATTCCCTTCCTTTCCAACTGATCTTTTCTCTTTTTTATTTTGAAAATAAAAGGAGGAAAACATTAACAGACATTCAACTGATCTTTTCAAAGAAGGTATATATTAGCACTGGGGATCATCCTTTAAGGAAACACTTTAAAGTGTGGATATTTTCACTTTTTTAGCCACCTTATGAATGCTACATGAAAAGTGGATTACATTGTGCATATATTAAGCATCTCACCAGAGGATAATCTGTCTTAAATCCCCACGTCCATCACAGGAATCTCAAATCCTTTGTTATATTATACATTTGTGAATGGAATGTACCTGCCAGATATATTCTGATATTATAAACAAACACAAATAGCCAAAGAAGTCATTCTACCATGACACTGCCATGATCAAAGGAATGATTGAACCTCTTTCTCTCTCTCGTTATTTAACTCTAGTCATTAAGAATACAGTGATAGCATTTCTGTTAGTGAATTCATGCTTTCTATGGCTTAGATTTACATATCAATCTGTATTTTGTCTTATAAAATATTAATTTATTTGATTACTCATGGTATCAAAACAAAATTTTATGATCAAAAGCAGTCAGAATCGGTATGCACATGTGCGTGTTTCTGTGTGTGTGTTGGGAGGAGTGAGGAGACAGTAGACCTTGTTTCAATTCCTAGAGAGTCATCTCTAAATTTTCTTGTTATTGTTAACTTTCACTTTTTAAATTATGATGCTAACAGATATGCATGGAGAAGTATCCGTGTATGCGTTTTGAAAGCTCACCTTACCCTAAATATGTAGATTATAATGACATAAAGAATAAAAGCCTTAACTTGTACATATTTGCACAGTATATATCAAGACAAAGAGGAGGATCCATGCATTATCTTCTCGTTAGTTACTCTCAGGGGTCTGAAAAATTTTTCTAACTAATTCAAATGTTCATTTTTCGTGAATATTTATTTATTAACTGAAAACTAATTTCAACACAAAATAACTATGTTGATCCAATAAAATACAATATCATTTGATCACATTTTTGATATTTCATTTTATGTATTAACAACCCAAAATATGACATTTATCTTCTTAAGCAATGTCACCATTTGGCACAGAAGTCTATTTACACAAGAGCTTGTTTCATTTGCTGTTTATTCCAGTAACTTGAGAACAATTATTTGCAACTAAATCTAACAGTATTTGTACAAGTACTTTCAAGCTAAAATACTGCTAAAAAATTCCAACACACATGCAATTCAATATGTTTACATAATAACATATATTTCTTACAAAACCTGTGACTCTAAGCACTTTATAGAATGTGAACACAGGAGTCACTCTACCCTCTAAGGAAACGTGGTCATATCTAAGAGAGGAGATGATGCTGGGCAGGAGTCCTGCGTTCAACTGAGTTGAAATGGATTGGCTACTCGGCCAGCTCAGGAATGCTACTGTGCCATCCTAGAACCGCTTGATAGCTCGATTCACACAGAACTGCAGCAGACTTTGAAGTGCAAGCCCTTAGCAACCAAGACACTGGCAGCGTGAGCAGCATGGGCAAAGGACTCTTATTATGCACATGAGCTCTGTTTTAAGCAAAGTCAATACTGAAAATTCAAACATACAAAACAGATAAATCAGAGAATGGTTCTTTGTATTATAAAATGGGTTTCTGCTTTATAAAAAGATTTACAAGTTTCCTCTAACTGGCAACTCCTTTGATGAATTTCAAATACATTTGATTTACAAAATTGCAATTTACATGTGACTTTCTGCACAGTCTCGTGAGAAGCAAAGTACACATATATACAGTACTTAATTTTCTCTCCCAATTAAGGGTCCTATCATTGTTTTGGTAAGAGACATTTAAGCCAAAATATTACTTTTTAAGCCACTGAAATAGAAAGTAAATATTGTCTGTAAAACATGACTGTTCCAGAAAATGTAAGTACATTTGTGAAGTTTTATTTACAGTCTTGATAGTCAACTTTACACAGTAGATCTTTAGATAGCACACGTATAAAGCTATCCACAGGTCCTAAGATTAAGCCCAATTTTGCAGTGGTTTGTTTTATTTTGGTGGTATTTTTTCCTTTTTAGTTACATAATTCCAAAGAGACAAAAGTGCTTACTATTGCCAGTCTATTTATATCAGTTTTATACCTTAATGCAGAAAAACATTTTTTAAAAAAACCTTCAACTTCCTGCATTGCATGACTGTCCCCACTGTTTACACTGGGTGACTGTCACTTAGATAAATTTCTCTTTTATTTGCACTAAGCTACTTGCCAGGTGGGAAGAGGATCTTTTTGAGTGGGGAGTAAAAAGGGTAGAGTGAGGGCAGTAGAAATCCTGTCTCTCTGCTTCCTCAACACAGGGTAGAGCCTGGCAACCTAGGAAACAAGCACTCAAGAAATATTCATTGAATGAAGAAATGAATGGATTGGGAGGATTGGCTGAAAGGCTTTCTGCACTCTAGCATCCAATCCAGTATGTTTGGGGAATGTGTACAATCAAAAGGAATTGGCAGGATCCGAAAAATTGCAGAATCTTTCTCTTGTCCATTACCCACTTTTTGTAAAATCCTTAAAATATTGAGCCCTTGATGACATGGAATCATTTAGAAAAATTAGGTCACGATAGAGATCAAAGGACAAAAAAGAGGAATTTAAAGAGTCATTTCCTTACTCACCAAATGCTGGAGGAAACAAGGCACACAGGTTGACCAAAACACAGAACCAAATTAGACTTACGGCAATGGTGTTGAGTCAGAGAAGTGGTTCTCAATACAAATTTAGCTACAGGTATACGCAGAAACAGAGAATGCAACTAATTAAGAGCTAGAATCAAAGGTAATTACCATTTGCCACTTGTAGAGTCACTTATCTAGACCTGTGCCAGGAAGAACCCTGGGAACAGCATTCTGTTGACGGGAATCATTTCGCAGTGCTGTAGCTCACACCCATTACAAGCTGCATGTGAAGTAAAAGGGAAATAAAATCCAGCTGGAGGAGATAAAAAAATACTAAAATAAAATGTTTGAAAATGCTTGCATGGATAACCCAAAACAGAATATTGTCAGTAAGAATGCTAATAACTTAATCAAACATAAAGTATTTCTGATTGCATTAGAAAGTAAAGCTTCAAAGCATAATGGTCTGTTATGCTTTTAAATAAATTAGTCTGAGCTACATGCAAATAATTCCATCTTAAAACCTAACGCAAATAAAGCATGAATCTAGAGAAGCATGGGTGTATGGAATTGAAGCATAAAAGCAAAAGAAAGAAAAGATTAGTGAATAATTTTATTATGAGCACTGGTATTTTATAGGAGTGGCTTTACTTGCATGCGAATAAGAATAAATACTGAAGAGGAATCGATACATTGATAGCTTTAGTCATATGCTTTAAGCCTAAAAACTCTCTTAAGAGAAAAATGTTAATTTACCTTCAGAATAGCTTCCCAAAATACCTACCTCTGCATTTGGTATTTATTACTGCACCCAGTGAGGGCAGTCACAAGAGGATTTTTGAAAACTCTTTTCTACATAAATACTTCACTCGATGATGAGGTGGTTTCCAGGAGCAATCCCAAATTCAACTACTGCAACCCACTAGCTCCTCTTCCATGAAATGCAAAATTCTGTATATTAACTTTCTCATAGATCATTTCAGCTCACCCACTTTCAATTTTGATCTTATGGATCTGAACAGGAATTATGATCTCTAATCAAAGAATGAGCACCCTAGCTTGTCACTGTAGATACTCAAAGATTTTAGATCATTAAAGGTATTTTCACCGGAATGTCCTTTATCTGTTCATTTGTACCTAGTTATCTTCTATTGTTTAAAAACTATTTTGCACCATTAATTATTAATCCAAATAATGTGGATTTAAGTAATGTCTAATTGAAAGCCTATCACTTGAATTGTTAATAGTGACAGACAATATACGATTAGTCATTTTAAAGCTTTAAAAGTAAGCTATCAGGATCCACTTCAACCTCCACATGATAATAAAGGATTATTATGTGCAGTAACCTATTTATGAAAAGGAAACAGTGTGCTTCTTTCAGACGCCATCACTTGCTTTAATAAGGAATTGAAAAGCTGGACTACTTTATATGCAGATCACCATCCCAGTTGCATAAGGATTTACAATAGACAAAACAAAACTATTTTTTGTTGTAAAGAAGGGCTGTTTGTTTAAATTGCACAATAATGTTTGCATCTAAAAATTATTTACAGGCTAATAAGGCTTCATAAACGTTATAGAGACTTGGTTAGTTAAACTCAATTTAATGCCAAGAGCAGAATGAAAGGCTTGCTCAAGCTGACAAGGAAATTTTCAAGTAAAGCATACCTAAAGAAGGCAGAAGCAAAAAGACAATTACTGTCGTGGTTTAGGTAACTATTAGCAGATTTGGAGATGCAAATAGTACGTGATTTGATAGCACCCCATGAATGCTTCCTTTAAACTCCAAGGAAAATGCTGCTTTGTCAGCAAGTGTGAAAATTGAGAATCCTTAGTCTAACCTTTGATCCTAAAAGAAATAGAAAGTAATGTATACATTTTTATCTCTGCTGCCTTCAATTTGCTGAGGACTTGTTTGGGAAGTTTTAATCTCACCTTTGAAGTTTTCCTTCAAGGTATTTAATGGCTCATACGTCTTTGTTAAATGAGGTGTGTGGCGGCCTCTACTGGTGTGTGTTTATAGAAAATGTTTCAATAGGCAGAAAAAATATTAATTTCAATTAAAAAGTTAGAAATACAGACTCTTTCTTTTAAATATACAAAAATATCTAATTTAATGCAGAAAAAATATATTACAAGTTGTGTAATGTATTCTTAATTAGGAAAATAATCTAAAACACCGATCATGTTAGCGTAACATAATGATTTACGGAAGGGCATTAATTGTTCAATCCACTCTGATATTGGGTTAAATATATTTTATTAATGAATTACTAATCCCATATGAGGCAGCTTATTACCTCTAGTCCACTGTTAAATCCCTTTAGTTGACTTAAATAAAATCACTTAAAACAAACCCAGAGGAAAGGAAATATTTTACAGTTAAGTCTATAAAGTCCTAAACTAGAACCATTGGATGACAGGCTGGTTTCCATAAATCAAGCAAACTGTACGTTGACTTAATATAGCTGACATAGAGATCTATTTTACAGTGTTTTCACTTTGAAAAGTACAACACATTAAAATACGTTCAATTTATCAAAGCTAAAAGCAACATTTAAGTAATGTACTTAAAGTGCGAAGGCACTTTAACACAAAGAAGTGATGCCCAGTGGCTGTACTTGGTAACTGAAGGTGGAAATACCAGGTATCGTTATTTACAAAAGAAGTTGTAGTCCCAAAAGATCTTTGGAGATCTTCCACAAAGTACACTAATTACCCTTTTCGTCTGAAAGTTTGCCTATTCTTCCTTCATTCACTATAAGCTCCTCTTTCTACTCCCACACTGGAAAAAAGAAAGAAGAAAGCAGAAACAAAATCATAAACAAATATATGAAAAAATGCACTGTAGAAACATTCATGTTCACGGATGGTTCCTAAGAAGAGAAGGAAAAAAATCGTGAGGGGAGAGTGAGAGAGAAATAATTTAAAGGAAAAACTTGCAACAGCAATACCTTTGCTTCACCCCATCTCCCACACATTTTCAAAAAGTCCCCACCGGGAAGGGGAGAACACAAACAAACACAAAAGCAAACGCAGTGCTTCCAACAGTTTGGAGCAGCATCCTTTGATGCCTTAGGGTTGTAAATGATTTCCCTTCACAGCTGACTGATTGCAGTTTGTTTTTCCAGAACTTCGAGGTAGTCTGGTTCTGATTGCGGCTTAGCTTGCAGTAAAGGGTGATCAGGCTTTGACTGCCCCACAAAGCATTTCCTGGGAGTTCCATATAAAACGGTTTTATTGATTCTGTCTTGGTTTTGGCGTCGAGATTCATAGGCAGGGGCGAACTGCCTTTTAGGTAAGGTACAAAAGTTATAGTGGACGAGGCCTGCACTGGGGAGTTCCTTGACTCGCTCAGCAATATTTTGATACAGCAGCTCGGGCTCTCTTGGTGTGGCCTGCTTTTCCAGCAGCTCAGTGGCACTAATTGTGTAAGCTAGCGTGGCTGGCTCTTCCTTCTTCTCCTCCAGGTTGCCATAGCTGAATTCTTGCAGGTTGCGGTAATAGGCCACCGGGTCTCCTTCCTTCTGCATGTAGATGGGGTTTTGGCACATCTGACCCACAGGTGGAGGGATGTAGTTATAGACATGGCCGTCGGTTTTATCATGAGTCTCTGTGTTGTAAGAGCCGTACTGTAATTGGAAGGAACTTATGTCTAAGTTGTTGGCACTCCTGGGAACATTTGGCACTCCCTTGCGGCGTTTCAGGACAAAGACAAACAAACCGGCCCCAAAACAGACTGACAGGATAAAAACAACCAGCAATCCTAAGATTAAGACAGAAAGTGGAACTTCTGTATGTAGTTCAGGATAGGAACTGGGAGACACGCTGAGGGACCGAGGCGTGTCTGTGTTGTGATTCATTGACAGAATGGTCCCGTCTGACAAATTCGGACTCTCTGGACAAATGGCTTCCCTTCCCAGAAATTTCAGTATCTCCCCTGCATGCTTAGCGGGAGACTCACAAGTCACCTCATTGATGACAACAGGGGAGTTGGCGTGCTCTGTCCAGTCCTTTAGACCCATGATGTCACAGGTGCAGTCCCATGGGTTCTCTTGCAGATCTATCTGGATAAAAGCCGGAAGCTGGTCCAGAACCCCTTTCACAGGCAGGTGTGAAAAATGGTTGTTTCTCAGATTTAGCCTGGTGAGGGCTGTGCCCCCAAATATATTATCGGGTAAGGACCTCAGCAGGTTGTTATTCAGAAACAGGAGCTGGAGGTTAATCAAAGCATCAAAAGTCAGCGGCTTGATTTCCTTAATGACATTGTACTCTAAGTAGAGATACTGCAAGCTCTGCAGCCCATCAAACATAGAAGGGTACAGCACTTCAAGGTAATTGCCATTCAGATAAAGTCTGCGTAAACTGGTCAGGTTTGTGAAGGCACCTTCCTGAATGATGGCAATCCTGTTGTTTCCCAAATGCAACAGATCCAAAGAACTGTAGTCTGAGAGGTCATTCTTATAGACGGTTTGAAGATAGTTCCCTGTTAGGTAGAGTTTCTTTGGACTGGTGGGTTTAGGCTGCAGGTCGGAGATATTAGTGAACTTTCTTTCTTGGCAGTTAACATTTAGACCATTGTCTGAGCTCTGAGAGGTGCAGACACAGCTACTGGGGCAGGTGAGGGGCACGGGGGACTTGGTCTGGTACACCATGATCGGTCCAAAGCTCTGCCTGTCCTTTGACACAGTCACTCGGGGAGTTGGACGATTTCTCATTTTGGGTGGCCGGCTGGCTTTTGGAGCTCTGGTGGGGCTGAGAGCAGGATTCATGGTAGGTGCCAGCCTTTGAATGTGTGTGTCACCATGACTGCCCCTTTGACTGGAGTCACCAGCACTTTTTCTGGGACAGAGGTCTTGCCTGGTCAGTTGGGTCACGTCTTTCCCGTGCAACCTGAAGGGAGTTTCGCAGACAATCTCCCCCACAAAAACAGTTATGGTGTCCAGCCACGCCTTGAGAGGAAGTAAGTCACAAGTGCAATTCCAGGGGTTTTCCTCCAGCTGAATCTCCATGATCCCTCCGATATGTTCAAGGACGCCAGCGAAAGGCATCACCTTCAGCCGGTTTCCCCTCAGGTCTAAGTGGGTCAGCAGGACGAACCGGAACACATTGCTGGGCAGTGACAGCAGAAGGTTGTCATTCAAGATGAGCACTTTGAGCTTATTAAGTTTGCTGAACGCCCCTGCCTCGATGGCACTGATGTAATTGTAGTCAGCTTGGAGGTACTCGAGGCTCTCCAGGCCCAGGAAAGTGTCCTCCCGCAATACCTCCAGCTTGTTGTTATTGAGGTGCAGTCTCTTGAGGGTTTTCAAGCCACTGAACGCCCCAGTTCCGATCTCCTGCAATCCATTGTTACCTAGGTGAAGGGTCACCGCGTTGGAGTAATTGACAAATTCGTTTGGGTACAGTCTTGTCAGGAGGTTGCCATTGAGAAAAAGCTGATAGATTCGATACTGGGGGGGCTGAAGCAGGCTGACAGTTGTAAATCCTTTGTTTTCACAGTTAATGTTTAGTACGTTTTCCTTCTCCTCGCACAGGCAGCGGATCTTGCAAATGTCTTTGGCAGTTTTGCGACTCTCCGTCTGTAAAATCCCGGCCACGGTTAACACACTGAGGAACCAAACGCTGCTCAGCATCTTTAGGCACCTTCGGTGTCAGCTCAGGTACCTACAGGCAAACCTTGAGTGGGGGGCGGGGGGGGGAGCGGGGTGCGGGGAAGAAAGAAAGAAGGAAGCCCGATTAAAATGGCAAAGCAAGGAGGCGGAGTGGAAGGGAGGGAGGATAAGGAGGTGGGCAACACAGCATAATGAAATCACTGCATTTTTCAAAGCGATTTCTTCTCTCCTCTCCCCTCCCACTCCGCCAGCCCACCCACACACGCGTTCCGGAACACACATGCTTGCACCTGATTTCCCGGCGGGTCGCAGCCAAGCCGCGGAGTCATTAGTAATCCAGTTGTCCTACTAAATCCAGCCCATCTCCTCCTCCCCTGGGGTACCTTGAAGAGATCTCTGGCGGCTCGCCCTTCCTGGGCGCCCAGCAGAAATTGCTTTACTTTTCCTCCCTCCCTCCCTCCCTCCCTCCCTTTCTTTCTTTCTTTCTTTCTTTCTTTCTTTCAACTGCGCAAAAGGGGGTGGGAAAATCAGCCATCGGGGGGCTGGCAGCGGGGACTGAGGTGTGAGAGCACAGACAGCTCAGGGCGGGGTACTCACACATCAGGAGAAGACAGGACCCCTCTCCTCTGCAGTCCGCCAGGAGTTTAGCATCTTCAGGAAGAGAGGGACAGCAAGGTAAAAAGAAGACGCCGCTTCCAGGGGGGATGTCCTGCTTTCTGTCGGTCGCTTTAATTTGGTTGGGGGATGCGCAGAAATTAAAAATCCGGCAGGCGGCAGGAGAGGAAGACAAGGGTCGGAGTGCGGGGAAGCTTCGCCTCCGGGAACCGGGGGGCGGGGCGGGGTGAGACTGCGCAGGGAGGTCGGGGAGCCGGCCGCTGGGCTCGGTTGGCGGGCGGCGGCCACGGCAAAGCCTGGGCGCGCGCTTCCAATCCGGTAGCGGCGGCGGCAGTGCGTCTAGCAGTTTGAATTTGAGAGGCTTTGCAGGCTCTCCGGGACAGGGCTAGGGTGACGTCACGGGGGGGGAGGGTGCAGGCAGAGGATCGAGGGCGCGCGGTGGGGGAGGGTGGGGCAGATGCTTCCCTTCCCTGCGAATGGCTTTGCAAAGCTCAATCCCTGGCTGCGTCAGTGGATTCTGAACTACTCCATCTCCAACTCAGCTGGCGGCGGGAAAAGCCCCCCCAGAGGGGGTTCTCAAGGAGCGACCCACTAAGGTGCCGGCACCACCAGAACTCCTCCTCAGGCCTCTCTGGTCGCTTCTACCCCCTCTCCTACACACTGCCTGAAGGATAGCGACCTGGGCATTCCAGGGAGCTCGCTTTGATTCTCAAGCAGGGCTCCAGACTCTCTCAGGAGAGACTGTGGTGTGTGTGTGTGTGTGTGTGTGTGTGTGTGTGTGTGTGTCCAGCTTCTGTGCTGGGTGCAGAGCGAGGTGTTTGTCTGTGTAGGAGGGCGAGGAGTTCTTGATGCTACAGACAGAGCTTTGTTTCAGCGCTGAGAGCATCACTTTCTTGGTGGTGACCGGCCAAACACAAATTACTCTGGACTCCCCACGCCAGCTCAATGCTACCTTGCAGACTGAGTTAAACAAAAAGAAAACCCTTCTCCCAGTGCAATGTATACCTAGCTAGGTAATGAGGTTTAACCTTGTGTTTTTTGCCTGGAGGAAGAAGAGGAGTAGGTGTCGGAAAGGCGCTGGCAGCCTGAGCCTGAGCTGGAACAGGGAGCCCAGAGAAGGGGCGTTCAGCAGTCCAAGCTGCAGTGGTAGGGGAGCCAGGAGAACAGAGGAAGGCAGTAGAGGATGCCCGGCTGCTGAGGAGGAAAGGGGAAGGAAAAGGCGTCCTGAGCCGGGACCTAGCACAGCAGGGTCTGATTTAGCTCTCTTGCCAGGTTATGTCCTGTTTCCATTTGTAGATTCTGCAGGCCCTCCCAGCTCTGACACTCAATTTGGGTACAAATAACCCTTCCAGAGCATTACTCATGGCCAGGTGTTGGATTTTTGCCTTCATTATCTCCTTTCTTCTTAATTATCTTACAGTCCCAGCCTGAGATCCAGGAGTCTCCCAGTGTGAGTCCATTTGCAAGGTGTGAATAATGTCTGGTGTCTCCTGCAAGGGCAAGGGCTGCCACTTTTGGGGTGGGAGAGATGCCAGGCAATAAATGGATGAAATGGAGTGAGGGAAGGAACTGACTAAATGCTATACCTTTCCCACAAAACACCTCAGCTTGCTTTTCCCCTCTTCCTTCCCAGACCTGCTATAGAGAGTCATCATCGGGTCTCTATTGCCTGGCCAAATGCCAGATAGGCAATCACACAGGCCAGAGGAGCCATTTGAGAGTAGAACGCCTATTGCTTTTTCCCTTATTCTTTCCTGTTCAGCCCGGGTCATGGGCTTGGACAATTGACACAAGGTCCTTCAATCCCAAGAAATGCTGGAGCAGTTCATAAACTTAGGTACCCAGTCAACCTGTGGCTCTGGTGATGTCCTGTGAGTTTTTCTACATTTTTTGCCCTTCTCCTTCTGTGGAGGAGTCCTCTTTACTGCCCTAATGCTTGTTTGCACTTCAGGGAGATCTTTTCTTTTCCTTCTCAGCCTCAAATTTTCCTTCTCTAAGCACCATAACAACCTTGAGATACTGGGTCTTGAGGGGCAAAGGCAGTGGCGGAGGGCATGCTCCTCCACGGCAGGTGCATCATTAAGTGTAAGCAGGGGGCTGCATCTCAAGCACAGTTAGGCTCCCTTTCATAGCAAAGGGGTATTTGTCTACATAGTCCCAATTTTTAGAGGAAAATTGTTCCCAGAAAACACGGTTTTTTCATTTATTCAGTCGTTCAACAGTTACTAATTAGGTCAATATTTTGTGGAAGTACAATCCAACGTGACAGCTGGACAAGACCTTAGAAATCAAGTTTATTTTACAGATGAAGAAGTTCCTCAACCAAAGGAAATGCTGGCATGGTTAAATTCAAAACACTAAAATTGAAACCAGAACACAGGGGTTCTGAATCCAGCAATTTCCAAAGGGCCCATTGCAGTTTAACAATAATTAGAGAAAAACTGCCTACTTAAATTTAAACAGCACTGGTGGGGTTTTATATCAATGTTCTTTCTAATTTGAAGTGAAATATCAAGTACTACTAGTTTTCAAACACATTAAAATTTGACATTGATGATGCTGTTAATAGTACTTGAGGACAGAGACTGTTATGCTGGAAATTTCAGAGAGAGAGAGAAGGAGAGAAAAAGAGAAGGGAAGGGAAGGGAAGGGAAGGGAAGGGAAGGGAAGGAAGGGAAGGGAAGGGAAGGGAAGGGAAGGGAAGAGAAGAGAAGAGAAGAGAAGAGAAAAAAAAGAAGAGAAGAGAAAAGAAAAGAGAAGAGAAGAGAAGAGAAGAGAAGAGAAGAGAAGAGAAGAGAAGAGAAGAGAAGAGAAAGACTGGGGATGTGGGCTCTTGAAATTTTTGGCAATTATAGAATGAAGGCGGAAAGCTGGTTGAGCAGAGACACCAGGGACATTTGTGGCGGGTCTTCACTTTAAGGCCAGCTTCCTACAAGGGTGCACTGGCCCTTCCACCGCTCTCTCCTGTCAGTGTCTGAGCTGAACTGAGCGTCCACAGCTACTTTGGGAAACACAGTCCTTGGGAAGACATCAACTGCAAACCGGATAGGCACTTTTCACTAAGTTTCCTTGAGCTCCGCGCCTCAGGAAGGACAGCCGCAGCACCCCGCTAAGAGTGGGTTTTCAAGGCCGAAGCTTTCAAAGGTTCAGAGTGCACTGCGAGCCCTAGAGAGGCCAGGGCGGTCGCTAAAAAATAAGGAAAACGCTCGGCTGCTCCTCGCTGAAGCAGGGAAGCTGCGGGCTCCAGGGGCTCAACCTCCCTTGCCTCTAAGGGAAGAGAGTTTAGCTCAGGTCGCCCAAGCCTCCACCGGTCGCCGAGGGTCCGCGGGCGAAGAGTCCACCTCCGTCCCGGGCGCCCTCCGGGCCGACTGCGTGGGGAGCCCTGCAGGCCTGAGAAGGGGGCCGTGCCTGCCCCCAGGCCCCTTCTCGGATCCCGCGCACCCTACTGGCAATCCTAGGCCAATCCGATTTCGGAGGGTTCTTGCGGGAGAGGAGGGGTCTCGGCGATTCCCCGTCAGCCCCAAACGGGGCACGCGCCCCCACCCCCGCTGCGCTACCCTCCCTACCCCTATCTGCCAGGCGCACGATACGCGGCCCGGGGCCCCACAGCCGCGACGGCCACTCGCGCTACGCTTGCCGCGGGGCTTGGACACCGCGGGTGCCTGGAGCTTCTCCAGCGGCGGCTCGCACCCGGCCCGCGGGCCGCCCCCGGGGGCGGTGAGCACCCGGCCGCTCCGGGCGCCGATCCGACCACGCCCGCGCGGACTGTCGGGGCCGAGGACAGCCCGGCACGGCCGGAGGGTGGAGGGCGGCTGTCAACGCGCTGCCCTCGGCGGGTCGCGCCCGGCCTCCCCACGCCCGGCCTCCCGCGAGGCTGAGGGAAGCCGGCTTGTGCACCGGGTCGCCGCCGCTTCCCCGAGTGTTCGCAACTTACCGAGCGAGCGTGCCGCCCGGATCTTCCCCCGGAGGCGCCCTCAGCATCTGCCACCCGCGGAGGCGCAGGAGCCGCACAGGCTGGGACCGGCGCTGCCCGGGAGCGAGGGCACGGTGGGAGCGCGGGCGGCGCCCCCAGGGCAGGCAGATCCCCACTGGCGCAGCTCGCCACCGGGCAACGCTTGTGGCAGGAAGGAGGGAGGAAGAGGGAGGAGGAAACAAGAGCGGGAGGGAGGAGAGCAGAAAGAGGGAGGGCCGGTGGCCCCTCTCCCGCACTTATCAATCACTCAGCAGATCAACTATCCCCGCTGTGCACCCGGGAGGGGGATGCACCAGCCCACAAAGGAGCCGCTGCTCCATTTCTCTGACAAGCGCCGCGGAGCGCTGCTCACGCCTCTCGGCCCCTCTTGCCTGGAACTCTGCCCAGCTCTTGCAGCTTCTACCGTGGGCTGCAGCTCAAACTCGGTCAAGTGAAATAAGGATGGCACATGGTCGGTACCATATCCGAGGGGAGACTAAGACTGCGGGGTGGAAGGAAGTTGCGGGCAAGTCAAAGAGCAGCCTTCAGTCCGAGCTGGACACCCTCCGGGACGGCTGCCTTCCCTAACTAGTAAGCGCCAATCACTGGAGTTCGCAGGCAGATATTTAAGGACCTCCTATGAGGATGGTAAACAAGGAATTTCCATATGATATAAAGCAGAGCTAGGCTTGTGCGAATGTGTTCACAAAAGCAAGCCCTTAGCAGCGTTCCAGTCCCGTTTTAACACTGATTATTTTTATTCTGCACAAGGTAGCCTGCATCTACTAAAGCCTTTTTTTTTTTTTTCTTTTTAGCCATCTTTCCTTTTCTCTGGGTTCTTTTTCTCTAGTAGTTCAGATTGCGATTCTACGAAAAGAAGGCTATCGGTGAAAGACTCAATGTGATTCAACAAGGCTTTTGCCAAGAACCCCGGGGGTCCCCTGTGGACCTGCTCTCCCTGGGGCCTGCTCTCCTCTTTTTCAGAGTATTCGGGTAAAGTTGTGGGTTTCTTAGTTTAAGCCAGAAATAGGGAATTCATTTCACGGCACCAGGACACGTTACCCTCTATCATGGTCTTAATTGAAGTAATCCAAGTTCCCGGTCCTTTTCATACTCCCTGAGGACTCTGCCAAGCCCCCTGTTCGTCAGGATATCTGCAGGCTCCGTGGTGGAGAGCTGAAAAGGAATGCAGGGAAAGAGTGCAAAATCAGAGCAAAAATTAACGGCAGACGTAACGAATCGGCAGTACGATTTGCGTTCGAAGTTATATCCCGTATGTCTTCCGCCTCATTCCTGTCCTTACCCTTGGGAATATTGGACGTCCCCTTCCCCTTCTTGGCTTGCTTTTCAGGATGGTTTTCTAAGAAGATCATGCTGGGCCTTTTAAAGAGAAAACTACTTACTGATAATCTTACATTATGAACATACGGAGTTTCCTTTAGTAATTGTCCAAAGAATTATCTTATAATCCTGTCTCTGGGTTTTAAAGATCATTACTGTTCCTTTTACTTCATTCTTGAGACAGCCCTTTTGAAATTTCCTTACCACTCAGATAAGCAGTTTTAGAATAACATAGTTCTCACATATGCACATGGGCAGGCTATTTACAGTGACAGATTCAGAAACTTGGCTCTTTTAAAATTATCCTTATTTCTGTAAAATACCCAATGCACTATAACAGTGGTCTGGGCACATCATGTTCTTATAAACTGAAGGCAGTTAACGGTGTTATTTCTCTGGCTTTCCCTCATTTCGGACTGTGTCATCTTTTCATGAAGTTACTTAACAGGTGCTATAAACAACTCCAAAACACAGAGCTAAGGAGCCATTCAAATGCAGAAATAATGAGACAGTCATGATGGAAAAAGAAACCAGTTTGCTGAGACTGGTGGTATGTCTGTAGCCAAAGTGAGAACACAGCAAAAGCAATAACTTGTATGCAGATTACACAAGAAGCATAATATTAACGCTAAAAACATTTTATTTTGGTCCAGTAGAATCATGTAATGCATCAATTTTAATTAACCTTTAATTACATGGCATGCATCAATTTTAATTAGCCTTGGAAGCAAGTCTCAAATGCTTACCAGCCTTCGGAAAGCTTTTAGTAGCCTGGCTTTCTACATGGGCCCTCACTGATGTCATAGTAAGATAAAATTAAAAAGAGCAGACGTTTCTTTTTGTCAGCACAAAGTGTTCAAGTGGGTGGGGAGCTTTTTGAAAGGTGTCCCAAACGCATACAAACACACAGACAAAAATTGGTGAGCAATACAAAACTTTCTGTGAGGGCTGTCACATAGATAATTATAGTAGAAGAGAACTTGAAGTATGGGAAAAATTTAAACAGAACAATTTATTTGAAAGCTGTCATGTTATACTGACTTTTCTAAAAAGTTTCAGTGTTACAGGAAAATTTCCAAATACCAAAGATGCACAAACAGGTGCACTTGTGTTAATTAATAAAAATCGTCACATTAATTATTTGGTATGGTAGCACTGAAATATAGCTCTGTGTTTGTGTGCTGTTTTCTGTTGTTAGTTCACACAACAAAATGGAGCAACAACATTAAAAATTCCCTGGAATTTCATAATTTCATTTTAAGAGTAGAAGAAAACCAGAAATGTCATGTAGAATGAATGAAAAAAATACATATGTTTCTAGGATCATAAAACACTATTCAATTACTAGCCAGGAAGCAAAGAAAGAAAGAAAGAAAGAAAGGAGAGAAAGCTCACACACAGTCGGGAATTCTGAGACAGATGTGCTGCTATTTTGGAGTACTGTTCCTTTTGAACCATACATTTGAAAGAAGAGTTCCAGAGGACAGACAGATTCCTAAATAAAGAAAGAAATGTGGCACAAAGAGGACATGCCCTTAATACCAGTAATTATAGTTTAAAGGATATTGTAGACTTTGGTTTCTGATGCTATTGAAAGTGTAGATATTTTTAAATTCAATTACTTTGATTATTTTGGCAGGCACTGTGGCCTGCTTGGAATGGTGTGCCAGGACTCAGAAGAGTCTGTCTTTTAATCGAACACAACCAAGCCCTTGGAGCCAAATAACCTGAGTTCAAATCCCAATCCTGCTACCTCACCATGGAGGCAGAGCCGACCCTGTGCCTCTTTTACTTACTGCTTATGTGAAACTAGCTGCTAAGTCAGGAAGGGCAGACACTTTAAACTCTTAAAAATTGCGACATGGTACATGTACGTGCAGGGAAATCTTGAACTGAAAAATTGCTAGCCTCGATTTCTAAAAATAAATAAATTATACAAAACATGACAATTTTAGTGAGAAAGCAATATTTTAATTTTAGTTGAATAATAGAATCAAGATAAAAAAATTTAAGATTCTGGTTGGCACTATATACTTTAAACATTCAAAAGAAAACTTGAAAACATCCCATCATTTTTTCCCAGATAGTTGAACATGTATAGATCAGAGTTTCTTAGCCTCAGTACTGTTAACATATTGGACCAGATAATTCTTATTTGATGGGGGAGGAAGCTGTCCTGTGTGATACAGGAGTGTTTGCAATATCCATGCAGCATGTGTATACAAGCACTCTAATTTTCTATAGCACTTGAACCATGTAAAGGAATGTTTGTACGTTATGAGTTAG